TTTTTTTTTTTTTTGGTTTTTTTGTTCTTTTTCTGAGGGGAGGTTTGGTTGGTTATTTTCTTTTCGTTTTCTTTGGCGAAAAAAAAAAGAAGTGAAGAAGTCAATTAACTGGACTCTACATTGAGTCCTTGAATTAAAGTTTTGTTTGATTTTGGTTATGAGTAACAGATCCAATTCTGGTTGATTGCTATGTGCCACATCGTTTTGATTCCAACACGAAAGTTCTCCTAAATGGCGCGATTCGTGATTAGAACAAAAGGCGACAAAAATACGAGACGGCGACAATCTAAATTTGCTCGTTTTTTCTTTTCTTTCTCTTCTGTTTTATTTTACTTCATTTTTTTTTATTTACTATTTACAACTACAGATAACAGCAAATAAAAAAATTTGTTTCTCAAACATACAAAAGTTTTTTCTTTTCTTTTCTTTCCTATTCTGTTTTTCTTTGTTAACTGCGGAATAACATCAACAAAGGGCAAAGAAAAGAAAAAAAAAAGAAAAAAGGCGAGATAAGTGAAAAAAAGTGGAATTGTTGCTGAATAGTATGGTAGGAGAAAAAAGTTGAAAAATATACGCTTTTTTTACTTCTAAAATAAAGTATAGCAAAGAGGAAAAAATATTGAGGAACTGGGGAAGAAATGATAATGTTGAAGAGTGATGTACGAAAACGACAACAAAAAAAAAATTGGGAAGGAGAAAAAAAAACAAAGAAGATAAAGTAAAAACAGCAGTTAATCGAAATTTCCTGTTCAGTTTTGGATCCGGTTCATTCAATATTTTTCAGTTGTTTTTTTAAATTTTTTTATTGTTTTTTAAAATAATAACAAATAACATACATAGAAGTATGAAAAAACTGGTATAAGAACATCAAATCAATATTAGGAGGCTGAAAAGCCACTGTAATATCGAGGAAAAAATCAACGATATGTTGGTAAACGGAAACTATACTAGCAATCGGTGACGATAATGATGATGATGATGATAGTGAAGATGATGAGGAAGATAGTGAGGCACGGCGATGAGAATAATAATAACAATGATAATGATGATAATAATGATGTTGATGATGATAATGATGAGGATGATGAGGATGATGAGGATGATGAGGATGATGATGATGATATTGATGACGATGATGAAGAG